GTGAATTAAATAACCTTGGTCTGGCTTCTGTGAAATTTTAGTCTCCTGTGCTCATGAACTTCCCGTTACAAGTAATCTTTTTTCATTGTTTCATCCAAACACAGCTGTTCTGGGAAGTCTTGGCCAAACAGAGAGAGTCAGTCTTTAAGGTAACTCAGTGATATCCCATGAAGAATGCTGAGTATTGGAGCTGAAGGCTTGAGGCAGGCTCACTTTTTGTAGCAAGCAGAAATGGAGAGCAATGAGTTCCCATTGAACTGTACTGCTGACCCCAAATGCTCCTGTATTTATACACAGACCGAGATTTTTCCAGGACACTGGGCTTGAATTTGAAGTCTGATGGATTGCAAGGAGTAATTTGGAGGATCACAACCTCATAGACTCTGACTGTGAGGTTATGTCTGGCCACTAATCTCTGAATCTCAATAGTTTAAAGATTTTCCAACAACAACAGAATATAGTGGCTAAAAAGACCCCCAATCTACCAAGCAACCAACCAGCCGAACAACTTCCACAGCTCACCAATTAGAGACCTCTCCTTATGGTAGTGGCTAATATGGAGACAGGCCCACATTCTGTAGGACACTGCCGGTGGAAGAAGAATTATCCTCTCACCCTCTAGATTTCACCAGGGAGGCAGGATCTGGGCCTTTTCATGGTGTTTAATTTCAGTCCCATTCCTTGGCACTGGGATACTGAGCAACCAGTTGTCCCAGAGTCCAAAGTGAGACTCCTCTAGTTGAATGTGCAGGTGTGCTCCATGTCCATGGGCAGAAGAAAGTCACTGGAAGTCATTGTGTAGGGTGGAAAGAGGAGTTTCTAAAATGCACCCTGGCCCAAAATGTTGGCAGAAGCATGAAAGAAAATAGCTGTGAGCTGGCATGGGAACCTTCCTCCCCAACAGGAGACTCACACTATCTGTAAGTTTCAAATGGTGGTTTCTACAATATTCCTAAGACTATACATAGATTCACTTTGTTAGAAGAAGTTTAACTTAGAACCAATGCATATTTTCATACTGGAAACTTTTATTTTTGCACAAGCCTGTAATGCTGTGGGCAAAATTATTCTCAGGGGAAAGATAGAAACAGATTTCAAAGATATGTGTTTAAATATATTTGAGGAAAAAAATCCACTTATTTGTTGTGAAATTACTCTTTTCTCCCCACCTCACCACTGCAATGGAAATAAATAATTTATGTTATTTTGAAAAAAACCCTGATTGCTATGAAACTAGATTTCTCCTGTTTATGTGCTCCCCCTTTCTTTTAACCTTTGGAACTTTTAAAATCTACTTTTGGAATGTTTAAATCAGTGTTTTTCCCAGGTTAAACTAGCTTTTGAACTAGTTTTAGGGTTAATTTCGGATAACTAAGTGAGTTTACTGCCAGAGCTAACACATATTCAGATATGTATATCATGTTCCTTAAGTGTCTGAAATGTGTTCAGTTTATTTTTATTTCACAGTCTTTTGACTAGCTCCTGTGTTTGAAAAACATCTCCCTTTCTAAAGCTTAGTGTCACTATGCTAGTTTTCAGCACGATTTATTCCATGAGGTTGTTGACTTTAATTATATTGTGGATACTCGGACACTGTTACTTAGTGGCTCAATTATACTTGTTTCTTGGATCAGTTCCTAGGTATTACTTAGGACTAAATGAAAAAGTAAAAATAAAGTCTTGTTTTCTCATGTGCTGTAGAACTAGTTGTTCCAAAAAGCACTTGTTTATCATGTTGAGAAATCACTTCCTAAGCCAGAGACCATGTGGTGGTTGACTAACTTACATCCTGAAACACAGAAGCAAGCTTGGAAAGGGCTGTCCAGATCAGTGAGTCCAGTTACTTGATTCTCTGGGCAACCTGGGTTTGGAAACCCTGCTCTGTCCCAGAGCTGACAGGGTTTTTTCCCTTGCTGCAGTGCTCAGTGACTCTGCTGAAGACTTTCTGGCATGAGTTGGGCACTTGGTGAGGGACACATGGATATGAATTATAGCCTTAAAGACACATAGGCTGGAAATGGGGCTTTTCCTAATGGTAAGAACTTTGGCCTCTGAAACAGACCCTGCGGGAGTACTGGAAACTAAACCTAACTGCTAGTCCATTGTCCTGTTGGAAAAGCCTTGTGAACAACACAGGGAAGCAGAGGCTTTGTGACTCCCACAGGCTGTGGTGAAAAGGTCTGTCATTTTGGGGGTGACTGCAAATCACCCTGCCTTGTTAGTCCTCTGTACCACTTCCCATAGCAATTCTTCTTCCATGAACATGGATGTCCTGGGCCATACAGAGGACTCCGCAGAGGTCTCACTGGTGTCTTATCCAGTGGCATTAACAGGTGCCCATCTCTGCTAGCACATTATCAGTAGACATCTGTCCTGGTTTTTAGCTGAAACAGAGCTGGGTTTCTTTTTAGTAGCAAGAGTAGTTCTGTGTTTTGCTTTCAGCCTGGGATTTGTTATGAGAGAAACACTGGTAACACACCAGTGTTTGTATTTTTGTCACTGGAAGTGAAGGACTTCGTGTTTCATTAGTCTACAAGCGCAAGATCTAAGGGGGTGAGGAGTATTGACATTAATAAGCTAAACTGGCATTTGGATATGCCAATGGGATATTCCATATCATATCACGTCATGTCCAGTATATTAGTGAGGGTTTCTTCCTCTCTTGCCCTCTCTGACTTTTGCTTGGGCTCTTGCTCTTCCAGGATTGCGGTTTCAGTTCGGGATTGTCGCTCCTCCAGGATCATTATCTGGGAACGGGCCAGGCTTGGTCAGTGGGTGGTGAGCAACTGCACTGGGTATCACTCATTTGCATATTTTACTACTGTTATCATGACTCCTATTTTAATATTAGTATTATTTTAAGTTTTCTATTATTAAATTGTTCTTATCTCAACCTATGAGTCTCCTTACCCTTGCCCCAATCCTCTCCCCTATCCCCTGGGGGTGGGGGGGCAGTGGGTGAACGGCTGTGTTGGCTGCTGGCCAGGGGCTAGCCCAGTGAAACTATCACAACATCTCAGAATTAGTCTTCTGTGATCACCTTTATGACTGTTGCTTCATAGTTGTTCCTTTTGTCCCTGTTTGCTTCAAGTTTATGAGCTCTTAATTTACAGCAGGATTTTTACTGCTAATCCCCTTGGAAGACATTGCATTTGCGCTATTGCATATTATCCTGTTTCTGTTATTCCAGCTTTCAAGGTTATCCTTTTCCTCCTGTATGAGCTCTCAGGCCTCACTTCCACTGTTGCTTTCTTCCTTCGTGTTATCAACAAACTTCCTCAACAAATAGTCCCTTTTTAAGCCAGTTATTAATGGAAGTATTAGATAAAACTAGTCTTGAGATAAATTAAAATAGTAATTTTTCAACATTTCTCCTTCACACTGCTCAAGCTTCTGCCCCATTTATTTGGTACCTTGCCATCTCACAATTTTGGCTTTAAAGCTAATTTTCTCCAATTTAACTAAAAACTTGCCAGTTGACACTGAGACAAAAGTTTTAAAAATATTTAGTTAGATGACAACAATCAGACTTTCTGGATCTTTATTTCTTTCAGAGTTCTGCATGTCACAGGGCTGAATATTCAGGTGCCCCTGAAGGGTCAGAGAGGAGGGCAAGAAATGTCCTCTTCTTTGCACTGCTTTCCAAAGGTGGCTCATGACTGTGTGCCCTATACCTCCAGGACAGCTCAGGGTTGCTGTTCTCAGACTCTGAAGGCCAAGAGCTGCTTGTACAAGGACACACATAATGTGGTACCTTGTTTCCACGGGTAGGTCTGAAGTTTCCCCAAACTAATTGAGCACTGTAGGAGCTAAAGATCCCATCCTTGGACAGAAACCCTTCACTATTCTCTGGGAACCAGGCAAAAGTATAAATCAAAAATGCATGTGTTAGCTGCAAGGTGGCAAAGTATCCTATAAAATTGCAGCAAATCCCGCTTCTGTACCAATCATTTGGTGGTCATTAAGTCCACAGTGAAGCTATCATTTTTGTTTTGCAACCAAGGCTGTAAGTCAGGCCACACTCGATCTTTTCCTGGATCAGAGAAACTATACTCACCAGCTGTTTGAATAGATGCTATGTGTTTTCTTTCTTAACCTCTTCAGACACTGATTCTGCAGCTGGTCATCCCCTCCATCTCACCTCTGCTGAGCTCAGTCCCTCAGGCTTTGCTTACCCTTACTTGAAGACTGGACCTGCCAGCATCTATGCTATGCATGCACCAAGCATGGATCTCTGCTGAGCAAAGGAGCACTGCTGCAGGTTGATAATTGCATGGGTTCAGCATCCCAGTGTGGTGCATGTGTGCCCTTGGCTTGGGTGCAGGCAGGACCAATAGCCCAGTCCAGCAAGCACATGCCCTGGGTTGTCTGATGTGTTGTGCAGCACTGTTGTGCGTCTGGTGCGAGCAGCAAAGGTGCATCTCAGGGGCCTGGGTGTGTTAAGCCAGCTCTTTGCCCTGTAGGGTTTGTCACTGGGAGATTTCGGAGCTGCCTCCAGAAGCAGACACCTTTGTTATGTGAGTTTTCAGTCTGACGTTTGCCTGCCATCAGGAGGGGGCATCAGACAGTTGCAAAAGGAGCACAGAAGGAAACAAGAGAAGACCTGGCCCGCTCCACATGGAAGAGCAGGTGTCCTGGCCAGCACTGCAGCTCTAGTTAAGAGCATGACCAGGGAAGGAGGGGGCAGAGAAGAGGGGATCTGGCTGCAAAGGGGGAAGACTGCAGCTTGTCCTCAGACGTCTGTCCACTCACTGCTTCTGGGCACAGAAAGGCAGCCTGGATGTGGCTGTGCCCCTCCTAGCCCCTGGTGTCTGCTCTGCCTCTCTCCTCTCCCTCTTGGCTCAGTTCCTTGAGGTTGTTGGTTTCCTGGCTGTGGGCAGAAGGTGTTTTTGACAGAGAAGGTGGTAGCCTGGGGGTGGATCTGGAATGGGAGACAGAAGAGGGGAGGAGTCACTGATCAGTGCTAATAAATAAAAGGCCCCTCTTTTTCAGTCCAGGGTCAGGACGCTGGGAGAGCTGCCCCCTCAGACAAGAGCTGCAGGCTGGCGGAGAAGTGACGGCTTAGTGAGTATGCAGGGACCGCCTTGCTTTTCCTGGATGTCTGCTTGCTCTTCATGCCTTGCTGGTGCTTCACAGCTGCAAAACGTTGCTATGGCTTGTGTAACATTGTGATTCTCCACTCCAGCAGGAGACAAGTCAGAGTGCTGCTTTTCTGATCTCCCCTTTATTTGAGGGACTGTGGACATGTCCCCAGCATTTGCAGGCAATTCTTCTTAGCTTTTCTTTCTGTATTTCTAATAAGTGAATGCTTCTAGAAAGCAGAGGGATTGGGCTCACTGTGCTGCATGGTGTGTTACCTCTGGGGAAGCCCACTGATGCTGGGGAGGGGAGATGTGTGCTGGAGAAGTACAGAGTGCAGGAGGAGTAGAAAGGAGATGTACTTTTGTGAAGGAAAGTGTTCCTCAAAGGAGATTTGTTGGTATAGAGCTGTGTAGCCGGCATGTTCATTCATCCCTTGGAAAATGCATTACTTCTGTGGTGAAAAATGAGACATTTGGGTTAAAGTGGTGTTTGTGGCTCCTCTCCTGTGGTTGAAGGCAGGGGATGCTCCAGGCATTCTGGGATCAGAGTCCTCTGAAATGGGAGCAGAGTCTTCCAGGGAGCAGAGTGCTCTGCCCTCAGTGAAAACAGATAAATAAAGAGGGTTTGGCTGGAAAGCATGTTGTAGTTTCCTGCTATACAGCCTCACCTTCATTCAAAAGTATTCCCAGAATCTTTCTCTCTGTGCCCCACTGCTTTCCCACTGGGCTGTCTCCTCCAGCAAACTGCTCCCCTTTGTTTTTCACCCAGCAGGGATGGCCATCTCTGTAACTCCTTCATTCTTCCACTCCCTCCTACTGTACTACAGAGCTGAAGAGAGGAACACCACTTCTTTTGTCCATCACTGCTGTCCATGACATTGGTCTCAGAGAAGCTCTTTGAGTGCTAGAAAGTGAGGTAATACTCCCAGAGACTGCTGGCCTGGGAGATTCATCCCATCTGAAGAGCCTTGTGTTGACATCTGATTTTGGTGCCCCATGGGGCAAGAACTGCTAGTGCTAGACCAGAGAGGCAGCAGTCCTGAGGGAGATGGTTACCTCTACCTTCACCAAGATGCTGTCCATTGGGCTGGAAGAGCAGTGTAGGATCAGCACCTGCAGAGATAGAGTTCTGGGTGCTACTGTCATCTCAGTGCAAAAATCATGATCCCTCCAGCAGAGAAGATCCTTCTAGGTTGCCGCTTGTCACTCCTGGAGAAGTAAAGTAGGAGAGAGAAAGGGGCAGTAGGGTTGAATTCCTCCTCTGACAACTGGCAGGCTAGGACCACAGTGGGGGCCAGCTGGAGGGAGGGGTGCTGATTGGGGATGGAGTGTTTCAAGCCTCATTCTGCATGCCCCTGTTGGCAAAGCTGACAGAACAGTCTGGGCTGAGTGTATGCAGCCAGAGGACGGTGAGGGCAAAGAGGGCAGGTCAGAGGAATAATCAGAAAGGCAAACATTTACATTTGGGATCAGCACACACTGGGCCCTCTGCAGCCCTGAAATCCCTTTTGCTTGAGCAGGCCAGTTTTTCTGAGCATGGAATGCTAGTGACATGCTTACCTGTGAATTATGGCCCCCAGCCCTCAACTGGGAGAGGAAGGGAGCATGCCCTCTCCTTCCCAAAACCTGATTCAATCTGCTAATAGAAGATGTTTTGCAATGATTCTATAAAGGCTGTGTACCAGCCAGCTGTTGCCTTCCCCAGGCTCTTTCATGGGCCCCCTCCTGGCTCTGTTTTCATAATAAACATTCCACTGCTAATTTTACAGGCAGCAGAGGATCTCCAGCTGCCCTCAGTGGAAAGGGAGCGAGACACAGTGAGAGACAGTGAGAGATTCCTACCTGCACTGCCACAATGCGCACCCTCATCATCCTTATGCTCCTGGCTGTTTTGGTGATGGCTGCTACTAGCTATGGTAGGTGACCTTTTTTTACTGAGTAGACTGATAGCTCCAAACCAGCAGACATCTTTGGGTCTGTTCAGATGTTTTTTTACTCAACTTTGTGTCTTCTTTCCTCTTAACTTGATCTGTTGCCTGCTTTTCTGCTCTTATGGCAGACCATCCTAGCCTTGCTCCAGAGCTGTCAGTTTCTGTCTTTGTGACTTGTGGTCCAGGATGCTTCAGCCTCTTCCTCTTTGTTCCAGCTCACCTGCCAAGGTGCTTTTCTTTCTGCCCTCTGTTGCCTGAACTACAGTAAGAGTTCTTATTCTTAATTCTTCCTTGTTAATGGAGTGGTTTCCCTTTCTCCTTTTTTAATATTAGCCCCCTTTTCTTGTCAGACACAGTTCCATACTGTTGGAATTAAGATGCTGTTTCATGCAAGAGTCAAGCACATCTTGCTGTGCTAATCCATTCCCTAAGCACACATTCAAGCTTTGAAGGTAAGCAGGTATCATATCCACTGTCATGTCAGGAACATGAAGGTGAGGAATTGTGCTTGAGAATCACACACTGGAAGACCAAGCACAAGGTTTGAAGTCCTGGCTAAGACAGCAGGTTGCTCCATTCTAAACTCCTGAACACCCTAAACTCGTCATATAAATGCTAAGTCATGCCACTGGTCTCTTTTGCTTCCTTTTAAATGCGTGCCTTAAAACCTGGCTTCTCTGATTTGTGTGTGCATGTTCTATTGATTTGTGGTGTGTGAAAGACACTGATTCCCATCAATACAGTGCCTTACCATATGTTTTGCTCTTCTTTTCCCCAGAGTCCCATGAGAGCATGGAATCCCATGAGTATCTCAGTAAGACACTGCTTTCTATTTTCTTGAATTTGGAAGTGTGCTACAGACATCTCCAAGACAATTTCCTTGTACTTTACTGGGGAGATGAAATAGGCACAAACGCCCAGCCCAGGGAAATTGAATTTACTGGGTGGTGGAGTTGCAGGATGAATAGGAAGAGAGTTTAAAAAAGACTTCACATGTTTGGGCACAAATGCATACCAATTTTTTTTTTTTTGCAAATAATATAATGAGAATTGGAAAACAAAGAATCGTGAACTTAGATCCCTGCTGCATCCACCCAAAACAGGTTAAGTGACACCAGAAAAGGACATTACTCAAAGAAATCTGTGATGAGCGCAGAAAGAGGTACTGCAGAAGCCAGTGACATGATTTGTACTTCCCTAAGGACAGGGAGAACCTTATTCCCAGCACCTTGGAAAAGCAGGTGGGATGTGTGAGCAGGAGGGATCCTTACTCTGGAAGAGAGTGTTAGTGTCATAGTAGAAACATGAAAGGGTGGAAGGTCTCAGCATGGAACAAGAAATAACCTGGAGAGGTTAGAGAACAGATGGTTTGAAACTAAAAAGAAAACAGACCATCTGGGAGAAGAACTTCACAAAACAGCTGGTCAGAAGCACAAAGGCACACGTAGGAGCCAATGCCAAAGATGGCCACAGACTCCTGAACTCTGCAGTAGGACTGTAATGTTTATCAAAAAGGACAGAAGGAACCTTCAGGCATCTCAGTCCAAAACTGCAACACAGATTGCTCAGTGACTGCCTAACCGTGGAGGCAGACAGCCTTACTTGTGTCCTTCCTGTTTTTACCTCTAATTCCACAATTCTAATTCTCCTGAGCATGCCCAGACCTCCCACGGTCTGCACAGCTTGGCCCCTACCTTTTGGCTAAGCTCCACTCACTCAGAAGGAACCTTCAGGCATCTCAGTCCAAAACTGCAACACAGATTGCTCAGTGACTGCCTAACCGTGGAGGCAGACAGCCTTACTTGTGTCCTTCCTGTTTTTACCTCTAATTCCACAATTCTAATTCTCCTGAGCATGCCCAGACCTCCCACGGTCTGCACAGCTTGGCCCCTACCTTTTGGCTAAGCTCCACTCACTCAGAGGGTTGTGGCAGCAAAATCACAGTAGCTCTACTCCAGGTGGCTTGAGTAACAGCAGAGCTA